CTTGACGTCTTCCGGCAATGAATACACCGGTTCAAGTTCAGAATCGAGATTTTTAAACTTTTTAGTATTTTTTGTGTCGGAACTATTCATTATTATTCGTCGAAACGCCTCTTACATGTCCCTATCTTAACTTTTGATTCCCTTTTTACTGACATTTAATCGAAACAGATACAGGGTGATGAGAATTCTGAATCTCAAACCACCCTGTATTTGTTCCAATTAAATAAATGTCATCAGATAGTAAATCGAGAGTTGAGATAGGGACATGTGAGCTGTATCGACCAATAATGTATAGTTTCGTCACAAAATATCCTAAAGTTGAAAAATCTCGATTTTGAACACCCTATACCTCTGTCATTTATCCCCGCAAGAACCCCAATTGTGATACATTGATGCAGTACAGGGTGATTTATTTGAACTACGCGCATCGTTTGGAATATTTCAGACGTGTAGGTCAATTTATGAATACCACAAAATTTTTAGATTCATCTGTTGCTTAGTTTGGCAGAAACATCTAAATAATGCCAATCGTGAAAAACCCTTTATACTATTTCGCGATATGCACTAGAATCTTGCTTGAAACTGATACGAGCACTTTGAGAAGACCGTACGCGATAACATCTAACACAAGACTGACCCGAATCCCCACCTCGTCCTCGTCCCGAATGACTAATAATTAGTTGCGTCACCTTTCTATTCTATCAATTCCCGAAGTATTCATCTATGAATAATAATAATAATGAACTATGAAGTATACGGGGAGGTGAGATAGAACATGGAATATACTAAAGATATACAGATTCATTTGATTATCTCAGAATCTTACCTAAATAATTCCGTGAGGTACGGGGATGCTTCATTGAAAAGAAAGACAAAATTTAATTTTTCAGAACTGATTTTTTTCTAGGAAAAATATGAATAGTCAATGAATTGGACGTCCGGATTTCGAATCCGAAGTGATTTTAAGTAATACTTGTGGGTGGATTGATGGCTGTGGCAAACAGTGTATAATCACTTAAGATGACACGGCGTGGCGATAATAATCATTTTTCATTTTCCCTCATCAAAACAGCAAATTTCCATCAAGCTAATGTTCGTATCTGACCTTAACCCAACTGTGTTCACCTCAAGGATTTCTCATTGTAAGGAGCATGGCTTCAGGAGATGAGACTCATTGACTCGCAGAACAAACTTTCCCTGGCTAACAGCGGTCAACTCCACACTGCGTGGAGGATTGTATTATATACTCTTATATTAAATGTGTTTGTTGTGTTGTAATTGACTAGTATTTGAGACAAAGTAATGAGTGATAGAATTGAAGATGAATTTATAAGAGCGTCTGAAGGTGGATTTGTTTTTTGTTGATGCGCTGGTTCGAGACCAACCCCGACTATCTTTTTCTATTCCCAACCGAATAATGTGTCGACCATCGATAGTATTAATATTATCGATATCATCGTCAAATCTATGTACAGTGTGACCCACTTCTAATGGAAACACCCCTGTATCTTACGTAATCGTTGGGTGAGGGTCCTGAAATTTGCTGGAGTGAGAGATATACCAAAAATGCACTCTATGACCAAGTGTGATCATCTCCAGTGATATATACTCCTCGGCAACAGCCATGGAACCACCCCAATTTCATCATCATCATATTAGGAGTGAAAATAGGTCGAAAATCACTGCAAATTCGGAATCAGAACGCCCAATTCTCTAAATATACATAGTTTTCCTGTACAAATTTTCAGTTCAGAAAAATTTTATTTTGTCTCACTTCTCATGGAAGCACCCTCGTATCTCACGTAATCATTGAGGTAGGGTTCTGAAATTTGCATGAGGAAGGGAATGTCCAAAGATGAAGTCAATTACGTGAGATACGGGGGTGCTTCCGTAAAAAGTGCGACAAAATTTACTTCTTCAGAACTGAAAATTTCACAGGAAGAATATGAATAGTTAGAGAGTTGGGTCGTTACCACCGATACAACAAGGCTAGCAGACTCTGACGTAAACAGCTCGTGACGTCACCAAAGAGAGGCCAGTGTTTTATTTTATCGCTTGTCGACTAACGCGTCAGTTCGTGTTAATTCATCGGTGATTCACGTATGTTTTTGAAACGGTCTAGAATTCTTTTGTTGTTCATTCATCGAAATAGTTGGCGGCAAAATTACTGTTTTGTGAAATATTTTGTGTTGTGATCGGCGAAATAACAATTCCTTTCAAGTGCTTTTAGTTTCCCGTTGGACGAGGAGCTATCGAAAATGTGGGTATATGCAATTCATCGCGAGGATTTTACTCCATCTAAGTTCAGTAGTAAACAGAGCTTAATTTATAATGATGAATTAATAATAGAATACAATTACTCTCTCATAAAAAGTATAAGTAGAGGAAAAATAGAAAAGCTTTGATTGTGCAGTTGGTTTTGTATTCGTATATTATAGTCAACAAAATCATCTCTGAATTCGAGGAAATTTTCTTGAATGTTCATAATAAACGGGCATTTTTAATTCTCATTCTCAAATTTCTTTCTGAAAACGGTCATTAGCCTCGTGGCAATGAATGCAGAATTCATTCCAATGATCAAATTGCAACTATCATATTAACATGAACTACAAACCCTCTACTTAAAAAGGTGAAACTGCATTTATCATGATATTTATCAAGTTTCTTGTTTAGATTTATTCACCATATGTATTGCTTGAATGAATTTGTTTTTGAATACATTGATCAGAAAGTGAATAAAATCATTATTATTATATATATATATGTATGTACCTACGAACAAGTATTTTATATACTTCGTAGGATGATCCATGGATCATTATTTGTTTATTCCTCTACAGAGCTGTTGTTTATATAAAATTAAATGTACTGTACTATTATTATGTAGATGAATAAACCATTATTATTATTATCATTATATTTGACTAAAAAGTTCCAAATTTCACCTTCTTTTTCACCTGTCTTCTGGATGGCATTTAGAACAAATTTCCCTTCTTTTTTCATCATATTGGATAATTTATATATAATTCAACTATAAATATGATTTTCTTGAGATTAATCCATATTTAGTGAGAAGAAGGAAGAATATCATTCAATATAATGGCGTGTGTAATGTCATTCAAAAGCAATCTATTGACATTTGACATCTCGTATTTTGATTGACTATTGATTGAATGGTCGTCATCTGGAATGCTTGTTCACTAAATATGAAAAACTCGCCATAAAAATCATATTTCCTGTTGAATTTTCTATATAAAAATGTGCCATCGAAGTACATCATCATGAGTATATAAAGTGTCCAATGAGAAAATAAGAGCAAGTAGCTCCAAATGCCCCCAACACAAGGGCAGAAAGAAGGCGAAATTTCGAACTTTTTCTTGAAATATCTTAATAAATAGTGGTTTGTTCACATTTTCATTATAAAATTCGGTTTATCAGACAAAAATACGTGAGTACCGAAAAAAAATTTCAAAAAAAAAACCATCGCATGATAAATGCAGTTTTACACCCTTAAAAATTACGGTTTTAAGTGTAACGATCCACTTGGGTGAAAAATCCAACAAGAGAAAATTGAAAACACTCACTGGTTATTTTTTCAGGTAATAGGAATTCTCCAAGATAAATATAGGTAATTGTAGCAAACGGCATGTCAATCAAAATAAAATACATTTTCCACAATTTTCTTTCGATCAATCTCACGATAAGTTTATGTTCTGCGGGCCCTGTATAAGTAGGTGTGAAGTTTACCTTCACCACAATTTTTGCCAATATATTTAATTCGAATGGGTTGCTGTAGGTGGATATTTGTGTTTTATCCTGGTTTTTGCTTTAAAACTTCGTTTTTCCATAATAAAATCGAATGGGGTGCAAAGAAGGGCTCAGTTGACGACTGGTATCCTTTTTTAACCGAAAGCCCTTCAAAAAACAAGCAAAATCGGCCCAATGATGATCTAAAACTAAAATCGAAATACGTGGTCGTCTTATAGCGCTATAAGCGCTTGTCGTTTCGAGCCGCTGGTTAGGCCTTACTAAGTGACGTCACCCACGGAGCATGCAGGCCTTGTTGTATCGGTGGTAACGGTTGAGTGCCCTGATTCCGGATCTGAAGTGATTTTCGACCTATTTTGACTCCTGATATCATTTTCCGGAAATTGGGGTGGTTCCATGGCTGTAGGCGAGCAGTGTATCTCACTGAAGAAGACCCCACTGGTCATAGACATTTTTGATATATCTCTCGCTCCAGAAAATTTCAGGATCCTTACCCAAAGGTTACGTAAGATATGCCGGTGTGTTCCCATTAGAAGTGGGTCACACTGTATATAATGATGGAAATATAAGTAGATAGTGTACTCACTGATGCGATTTTGCTTCAGAAATTCTTCTCGACCTCTCGAGAGTATCAAGAACATGGTTTCGGCGATCTTCTAATAGACGGCGATATTGCACAATTATGACATCTTTCAATTTTGAAATTGCCGCAGAGTTTTCGAATTTAGAGTGAAGTAAAACCCACTTTTACATATGACTTGCGTACAGTATGACCTTCAAGCGTAAAAGTAGATTCAACGTCTCGCTCGAGACAAATCATAGTAAGCGGTCGAGTGATTCTGCTTAAGAATTCAATACGTAAAAATGGGCGAGTACAAGTACCATCTACTCATTTCCATCATTATCCATATTATCAATATTATCGATAAATTTCCCCACCCTTACTGCATACCACTTGACATAAATCATCAATAATTTTTCATGAAATTTTCTTCTCATCAAAGGCTTCTAGATTTTCCACAAGAACTATTAGTACATAGCATCTATTGATACTTTAAATAAATCATAGCATGCTGCATGTACAGCGTACCAGCGTAGACGTTTTGATGCTCGCAGTCGCAGCCGTCCAGAGGCAGCCGGCAAACTTTACAAATACTTGTGTTTTCCACTCGTCTGTCGTTCGACGTTCGACATTGACACTTCTTGTTTGCTGTCAATGCTGTCATTCTTCACTGACATTTTCTGTCAATTGAACTACTTTCAATTTTCATTTTCAGAAGGTATTTTGTCATTTTGTAGTTGCATAACAGGTAAAATAAATATTATATAGAAATATATAGTTAATTGGTGTATCTAATTCCGGAGAATATATCTACAATGCAGGCATCAAGACTGTTATCAAACCAAGTGATCAGACAATGTGAGTACATTGTATTATTTTTGCCAAATGGGGCACAGCAATAGTCTGAAATAAGTGTGTTGGGTTGACCTGGGTTGACTTTGAATAATCCATCACTCATTAATTATTATAAGAATCTGCAGTCTTTGCCAAATACATTATACATATTCAATGCTATACATATTCAGATTAAATACCAAATACATTATAGATTCCTTTTGAATTTTTTAGGCACCAGGAGGAAGGTTCATTATGACCAGGCGCCTGTCCAGCAGAGCACCTACAACGACCTTCCGCAGCCGCGGGGCTCCTGGAAGACGCATTACGACGCGAACCAGCGCAAGTACAATGCCCACCTTGCTCTTGGTGTGGGGGTTTTCATAGGTTCAATCCTCTTTGGCAAATCAGTTGGGTATTTGGAGTTCTACAATGACATTCCAGCTCGTCCAGCTGATATTGAATCATACAGATAAATTATTCAGTTTTGTATTGTGATTATTTAGTGCATATATTATAGGAAATACACTGATGTATTATATTTATGGATTTACCTACCCATTTTTAATTCATTATTAGACAATTTGCTGTTTCTCATTCAAGGGGCACTTCCACATGGCCAGGTTTGCACATTTGAATCATTATTTCTTCTTAACATCCCTATAAAGGAGGAGGCTAGGAAGGCCCCAATTCCCCCAAACCATTGACCTGATTTAAATCACCTACGTGAAGTGGGCTGCCAGAGCTGGCTGCTAGAATTTCTGATCGACCAGTGGCACACGGCAATAATTGTTTTGATTGGTTCATACGCCTATATGGTGAATATGAACCATGATCTCTTGTTAATTTTTAGTTCTGTGCTGCATGGACATCACACTTGATGTACACTGTACATTTTAATCAAACATAATACAGGGTTGCCGGTTTCAGTACAACTTACATTGATAGTATATTCTATTCTGATTTAGTACGTTCGCATTCTCATAATCTCATATTATTCTAAAAAATTGAATTGATTGATCTATCAGGTTTGCGTTGATGAACTGTAAAGTCTCTTGGAGTTGAAGAGAAACTTTACTCCATAGAAGATAATTTACTTGAGTCTGGGCATACAGTACAGTTCAGTTCTTCGTAATACAGTACAATTTCGGCTAAGTTCTAGTACAGACAAATTCTGGAGTGGCAACCCTGACCAAAAAATAGGAGCTGTCAAATGTGAAATTATTTATTTTTGGAAATATTACTATTTTCATTAATTAAAACAAACAACAATTTCTAAATACTCATCAACTTTTGAATATGGCTTTATCTGAAAGTGAAAAGAAGCAAGAGAAAAAGGAAAAACCTCCCACGAAAATAGTGGTTCGAAGGCTACCTCCGACAATAGATCAAGAAACCTTTTTGAAACAGGTCTCTCCTGTCCCAGATTATAATTACGTGTACACCGTAAACGGCGACTCTTCCTTAGGCGAATTCGCATTCTCAAGAGTCTATTTCAACTTCGTCAATCATGAAGATGTGTACAATTTCAAAGAACGATTCGACAATTATGTCTTTTTGGACAGCAAAGGCCAGGAGTACCCCTGCGTGGTGGAATTCGCTTCTTTCCAGAAGATCCCGAAGAAACGAGGAAAAATCAGAATGGATCCAAAAGCAGGCAGCATTGAATCTGACCCAGTGTTCCTAGACTTTGTGGAATCTCTGAAGAAGACTCCAGAACCAGAGGAAAAAGCTGAATATACTTTGCAACTGACCAATGAAAATAAGAATGATTTAACTACACCCTTGTTGGAGTACTTGAAAAACAAACGTGCTCAAAGAATGAAAATAAGAGAAGTAAGAAGGGAGGAGAGGAAAAAAAGAGAGTTTGATAAGAGGAAAGAGAGATTTGATGAACGCAAAAAAACTACAGAAGAAAGGTCTCCAACAAAAGAAGCTAAGCCTAGACCAAAGCAAGAAGGTTCTAAAACTGACAAAGTGGAAGAAAGTGAGAAAAGAGATAAAGCTGAAGAGAAAGTAGTGAAATCCAATGAAAGACGTGAGAAAGCATACTCAAAATCTGAAAAAGAATATGAAAAATCTGAGAGAGGTTATGAAAAATCATCCTACTACAAAAATAAAGAAAGAAAGTATGAGGACAAAAGGTACTTTGATGAAAGACGTAAAGAAATCAAACTAAGATATCCCAAGAAAGATTACTCAGATGGCAAAGGTGAGGACCCCAAAGTTAAAGATGCTGGTACCAGCCAGAGGATGGAGTACAAGAAAGAGGTGGAACCTAAGCCTTATCCAAAAAAAGTGAAAAAGTACAGTGAAAAACGTGAGGAACGCAAAATGGAAGCCCAGAAAAAGAATGAGCAAAAAAATATTGATCAGGATAAGGAAGATGCTCCACATAAGTCTGAACCTTCAACAGAAAAAAAATTGGAAGAGAAAACCCAGAAATCTGAAGAAAAAACTGTTACACAGGCCAAGGAAGAGGAAGTAGCTAAGGAAGTCCCAACACCCATAGTGGAGAAATCACTGGAAAAGTCAAAAGAGCCCAGCTTAAGTGAAAGGGAAGGACATAACCAACGTAGGATCAGAAATAAAGATAGGCCTACCATTGCCATTTATAGACCTGGAATGTTATCCAAGAGGAAGCAGAATGATCCTGAACCTAGTAATGAAAGTAAAGATTCTAAAACTGAAGAGAAAAATGCTTGAATGGGGACACTTGTTTCATAATTCCATTAGATAAATATTTTATACTGTTTGGGCTCATTATAAGCAGCCAAAAACAAAACGTGAAGCTCTGGCATACCTACATTCAATACTTTACAAATTCAGATCTCTTTGGAAATATTTCTTGTTGAGTAGTATATTTAGCATTATCAAGATCTGGCCTGTTCTGTTACTGTTACACGAAAGTACTAGATCCTATTATTATATGACTTCATAGATTGTTTGTCAACCTTTATTACAGTGGTGCTTGCTCAACCTGCTGAACCATTTTTTTCTATGACTTTCTGTTTAAAACTTTGAATTCCATTGGCAGGAACTGGTGGAGTTTTTCTCCACTGAGTGTATATCTACCTCTGTTTAACACATGCGAGTAAGAAGAAAACATACGCAGAACACTACACCCGTTCCTGCCAATGGAATTCGCTATGAGAGAATCTCTTGAGGAATTCCCGTTAAACTCGGAGAAGGTGGTGGGAGGCAAATACGTCAGAATGACGTAAACATTAGCTATTTGTGAGAACCTATTTCTTTCACTTTACACACTACTAAAGTTTTCCCACAGTGAATTATCCTTTCACAAGGATTAAATACTGCGGATTACCCATGAATCTACTCACCGATATCCCCTCCATTCATAATTGAGAGCAACATTTCACGTGATGGGAATTTTTGAGAAAATCAGTTTTCCACTGAGTTTATTACTCACCAATGAGGGCTTATTATTTGTTATCTCCCTACGATATTCTCCGTCAATGTAAAAAGTGATTAGCATTATCATCATTATTATTATTATTATAAGAATTGGTCCTAAAGTTCCACATTATTGAGAGTAAAAAAACGTAAGACGACTCACGTCTTTCGATAACTTGAAGTTTCCTATTTGTTCATATATTTAACTTTTTTTTCCCGAATATTTAAAATGAAACAGGCCATAGTCTATAGGGCTATCCGGCAAAATTTTGGGTTCTGTGACGTTGATGCAGACCTCATGTTTAATTAGTAACGCCAACTGGTGAAAGTGAAAATGTTAGCCCTCATTGGTCGAGAAGTTCCACCTAGAGAGTTGAGACTAAAGAAGCATGAGCCTACTCAAGTATTACGATAACTCGAGGTTTTCTATGTGTTCAAATATTCTAATTACATAATTTTTTTCGAATATTCTTCACTAAACAGGCCATAGTCTTCAGAGATTTCCGGCAAAATGTTGTGATTTCCGACTGAGGTGGAATTGAAAATGCTGATTTTTCTTGGATCGCGGCCCCCAACCCAACGTAGGGACACCCAAACGTCATTAACGGTCTCATTGGTGATGAACGAATTCTTGCTGACATCTTCTACCAACTTCTCAAAATAATATAACTAAACTCTGTGGCCAATTCTTCAGAAGGAGAATGCAAATTCTCAATTTCAGAAGTTTTTATATTTTATTTTCAAACTCTTATCGTGCATGTTCAATAGATATAATTCAATGTTCGTCGTGGCATATAGCCAGGAAAGTAATTGTTTTCTATTGAATAAACTGAAAAAGAGTAGATATTCTCATCACATAGAGAATGCGAATTCTCAATGTCCCAGATAACACTGGATATCCTATGGACATCCAGTTCATGTCCGATTCGGGTCGGGATATCCTTGGATTAGGAATGGACATCCATAATATATCCATTGAAGGAGTTGAAATGGATATCCTTCAGTAGATATCTTATGGATATCCATAAGATATCCACAGAAATTATTAATGTTCTCAAATTGCAAGATCATTTTGATAGTTCAAATTTCTGAGTTTTCTCTACACTTGTACACGAAATAAACCATTGACGGAATACTTATATTTTTTCTTTACCTTCCTGGACTTGAAATGGATATCCATGAGATATCCATCGAAGGAGTTGAAATGGATATCCTTTAGTAGATATCTCATGGATATCCATGAGATATCCGCAACCATTATGAATGAGCTTGAATTGCAAGATTAGTTCAATCATGAATCAAAATCATTGATGGTTTTCCTGAACATAATATGAAAAACTTGATGAAGAGGAAACCCAAGACATCGATCATTTTTTTTTTAATAGAGGTAGGTAAGTAGTTTGTCGTCACTTTCTCTTTATTTTTTACACAATTTCCGTCTTCATTTTACACCACTACACTCTATGAGGAAAAATCTCAATTTACTACAACAGTAATCAAATACCTATGGAACAATTGAAATAAGAAGAGATATAGTAAACAACAATATCTTATCCGAAGGATTCCCAAACTGCGAGTAATTTCTCGATAAACCCTATGCATATGTATTTTCCCCAACTCGGCGACATCTCCTCTATAGGCTTTTGTCACCTCAACTCTGAAACACACTGTACATGATATCACCGTGATTACCACTGCATTTCAATCAAAACACGACAAAAATGTCAATAAATAAACCCGATTTGGTCTCTTTGTGTTTTAGAATTCTGTTTTGCAGTGTATCGGTATATAAAATCCCTTCTCATTGATTTTGTCAGAGTATTGATAAGCAATCTGATAATTTTGAAGATGGACAAACCATATATCAGGAGGAAAAAATGTTGAATGATGTCTTTAAAGAAAACGAGGAAGGAACTAGATTCTGGTGAAATAATGAGAGACACATCAGTAGATTCATGAACCTGTAGCATTATGGATGGTCCATCATCTTCACAAATTTCAGTTACCAAAGCAGTAACTATGACCGCTTCTATCAATGATAATTCTATCTGCACTAATGAAAATTTATCTGGAGGGTTCAGCTCGAGGTTCAGCTATAGTAGTAATGATTCATCTATTGATGATATTGTTGAGATTACCCAAAACATTACAAATATTCCTTCTATAGAAAACAATATAACTAGCAATCAAACTGAACATAAGTCATTGACTTTTCAGTTGATGGGACAGTGGGCGCTTCAGCATAATATACCCCAAATAGCAGTCACCAACCTTCTACATATATTGAAACCCTCCCACCCAGAACTTCCTCTTGATGCGAGAACATTATTAAATACACCAAGAGTTGTTGATATAAAAGAAGTGAAACCAGGGAAATATTACCATTTTGGTATGAATAGGATTATTGAGAATTTCATCAGAAACTCCCAACTATCATCTCAAATTGGTAATCATGTCATAGATTTACTGATTAATGTTGATGGTTTACCTTTATCAAAAAGTTCTGGGAGCCAATTGTACCCTATTTTGTCGAGTGTTTATGGAGCAAATGAAGCAATTAGTACAATAGGCATTTATCATGGAAATGGGAAACCAGCAAATGCAAATGAGTTTCTCAATGCATTTGTAACTGAAGCCATAGATATTCTTAACAATAAGGATATCGAATGGACATACATGATGGATACCCTATGGACATACATGATGGATATCATATGGACATACATGATGGATATCCTATGGACATACATGATGGATATCCTATTCACATACATGATGAATATCCTATGGACATATATGATGGATATCTTATGGATATACATGATGGATAACCTATGGACATACATGATGGATATCCTATGGACATACATGATGGATATCCTATGGACATACAAAACGGTGGCCAAAGTACGTCCATTGGACATCCATACGATATCCTTTGGATAAGATTTGGATGTCCAACGGATATCCAGAATATTCTAAATGGATATCCATCGGACATCCATAGGATGTCCGTGTGTTGTATGGGGTATTGCTTTATATAAATATATATCCATTTTTGTATGTTCATAATTCATTTGAGAATATTCCTTTTCAACTCTTAAACTAAGGATTGTTCATCTATATCTTGGTATAGTTGAATCAGGAATTCCATATGAAAATCACGTATGATACGCCAATGACCTCGATATAACCTAAAAAACAACAAATGTCAGAACTGTTTCACAAAATTCCTTCTGCCTTCTGCCACTTCTGCAATACAAGCTAATACTGTTAATAGATTATAGATTGAAAATGTCTACAACACACACGATCGTCAGCATGTCAGACCAGTCCTCCCGATTGATTGCATGAATCCAATCTTGCATTATTTTAGAAATTTCAGGTATATTTCTATTAGCTCTTATTGCAGAAGGAATTCCGATGAGGAATCAGAGATCAGAGAAATAACCAAATTTCAAAAATGAAAACTATATGTGAGTGACTATAGTAGGTACTAGGGTCCCTTGATGGAAATTGACGTTAAAGTCATCTTAACAGGGTACGGACAGATCATAGCTGCATTCTTTTTTAATGATCTAGGGACTTTAGTTTTGTCTACTGGCATCCCTGACAATGCTGTCACGTCACATCCATGGGCGCTACAGAAAATATTTCAAAATTTCAATAATAGGTATGTACAGGGTGTTTACTTGTTGAAGATCATATGGCGAACGAGTTTTGTAATTATGATTCGAAATTGGAAGATATCTGGGGTTTTCCGGGGTTGGAGAATGATTGTTTCGTCAAACTTGGAAAATTCAAGATGACCAATCCAATATACAGGATGGCACATTAGACGTTTCTGGAAAACGCAACTCAGGATTATTCTGAAAAGTTGGTGCCTTGAATAATTAGTTGTCTTCTATCGACCTGAAATATTCTCAGCGCTGCTACCGTGAATCAGCCCGTATAGCGGAAGGAATTTCTAATTATGATCTGATTCTATTTAAGATTGGTATCTGGGGGTTTTTGGGGTCGAACTTTATGATTCTTTGTCAAAATTGAGAAATTTAAGATAGCGGATCCAATATGGCGAACGAATTCTGTAATTATGATCCGATTCTATTCAAAAATCAAAATTGGAATATGTGAATTTCCGTGGGGTCGGAGATTATAATTAATTCGTCAAAATTGGGATTTTCATGATGGCGGATCCATTATGGTGGACGAGTTTTGTAATGGAGATTCGATTCTATTCAAAATTGGTATCTGGGGGTTTTCGGGGTAGGAGATAATGATCGTTTCGTCAAAATTGGAAAATTCAAGATGGCGGATTCGATATAGCGAAAGACATTAGTTTATATGATTATTACTCTACCACAAATAGAAAATATGTCGGATGCAAGAGTGAAAATAACGTGACTATAATTTATACTGCGTATACCCACATCTTTGTTGGTATTGGTATTGGTATTGGTAGGTTGGATGGTGACAGATGCGCTGCGACCCAATTAGATCTATTGTGCCCCATCTGCTCCTGCTATAT